GTGTGTGTGTGTGTGTGTGTGTGTGTGTATGTGTGTGTGTGTATGCACGTGTCTTTGGGGGATTTTACCTTTTTAAGAACCGTTGTACATGTATATCCGACAAACCTCCTGAGGGCTTTAGCAGGTGACATATAAAGTTTACTGTATATGCTTCCATGTTTACTTCTTACAAACACTGCTGTTTACCTTTTTTTTGTTTGTTTGTTTGCTGTTGTCACCTTTGCCGTTTGTTTGTTTGTTTGTTTGTTTGTTTGTTTGTTTGTTTGTTTGTTTGTTTGTCGTTGCATGGAAGCTTGTGGACCTCTGCTCAGTAGCAGCATGCTTAAGGTCCTTTCCCTCCACCTCCTCCTCCTCCTGGTCTTCGATGTTACCGACCACAACAACCACTAGTGAGCCAATAGTGTGATACCAGAACACTAGTGATCCAACGTGAGGGTGTTAGAACACTACTGGACCAATAGTATTGCACCAGAACATGTGTGGACCAATGGTGTTGGACCAGAACTTTGGTAAAAAACCAACGGGAGCACAGATTAACACAATATTTTGGTTCCTGCGGACAAACTAGAAATGCACTAAATAAACCATTTGTAAAGAAGTGAATTCACTCTCTCGTCTATATTTGTTTGCCCACATCTGRCGTCAACTCTGTTCAATTGATAGTTCAGATTTTTTAAGTGGAGTTTTGTGAAAAGGTAAACAATATCTTACCTGTTACAGATGGTCATCGACTTCTTATAGAGAAGCTGGAGGTTAAAGATGAAGGCTCCATATAAATCTTTATGTAAACAAATAAAACGTTTTTCCGGTAAAGCTTTCTTTTACGGTACCCTTATTTCCAWGTAATTACAAGATAATAAAACAGTAATTAAATGTAATTACTACCTTATTACCATGTGGTAATTAGGGTACAATTTTACTATGCAATTAAATGTCTGCAGTAATGTAGCACTTACCTGGTAATGTATTACGATTCACTAAGTAACACCTAAATAAGTTGTAGGTAATTTGGACAGTTTTAAAGTTATATTTTATTGCAATTAACCACTAACCCCAAAATTTAGTTGCATTATTTTGGTTATAAATACAGTGTTGAGTTACTATTGAATAGTAATTTGATTGTAGTTACCTAATAAAGATAGTTTTACTAACAGTAGTTTTTCTTTTGTACCCTAATTACCATGTAATTACATGGTAATAAGGTACTATTTAATTACCACCTTGTAATTACATGGTAATAAGGATACTGTAAAAGAAAGCATTAACCATTTTCCTGACTGACAGTGGTGGGCAGCACTAATCTAAATATTAGTTGCACTAACCCTAAAGCACTAACTCAAATATTTAGGTTCCCTAATTCTAAAGCACTAATGCACTGAAAAAAATAGCAAGAGGTAATTCTAAAGCACTAATATAATCCAACTGACACATAGAACATTCTTCAGAGTCAACATGAGACAATATTTACTGTGTGCAGAATATTGTCACTTAGTGCCCTTGGTGGGCCAAATGAGAGTCACCTACAGGCCATATTTGGCCCGTGGGCCTTCAGTTTGACACATGAACTTGTAGATAAGTGATACACATATGAGCAAAATGTATGACAGCTTTCACCCTCATATGTGAACAATAACATTTAAAGACCTCAGTTAGTGCTTCTAAATTTAGCCCATAAATTTAGCGAGTGCTAATCCACTAATGAATTTAAAAAACAGCAAAAGCCCTAAAGCACTAATCAAGAAATTAGTTTCCGTATTAGTGCTTTAGGGGAACTGTGCCCACCACTGCTGACTGAAAAAGTAAACATGTTACATAATTTTTTTCCAAGTGTTTTTTTAAGTAGCTCATACCTTGCTGATGTGTGTTCAAATAYGCATTTTAAAAATGTGTTCAGCGTTAATGAGTTAATGACTGGTCAGAGCAGGCCTCAGACTCAAGTGAAAAGATGCCATCTGAAAACAACCAAAAATGTCACTGTTGCAAATGCTGTTTTACAAACCTTCAGACAGCAGTCACTTTTATATTAGTTCTTCTGACAGAAATCTGAAAAGTGGTACAGCTACCTGCTGCTGCCTCTGTTGTCTGAAGATCTACAACAGGTAAGATAGTGTCTGTTCATAACCCTTTTCATGAAACCCCACTTTACAAGATCTGAACTACCTCTGTGCAACAAGTTTACAATCTTAAAGCAAAATGTTCTAACAAAATGTAAAGAACATTTTAATATGAGCATAAACTGTATTCTGATGACTGATTAAGCTCCATATTTTGTGAATATTGCCCAAAACAAGCCTTTTATTTTGTGTAACAGAACCTTATGGGTGCAATTTGAACAGCTTTTTTAGTTTACCCAAATTAGACCAATATGATGTTTTCTTTAAATGTTTTGATTCACAAAGTAAATAAATCTAAACTGGAAGGTTTTGAAGCAGAATGTGTCATTTTTAGTTGTTATTTGAGCAGAATTGGTGTGACTTCTATCTGTTCAGTGTTTTAAAACCACAGGTTGTAAAGCAAGATCTGAAAATGTTTGCTTTTTAAGATTAAAATATTAATGATGTTGATGCACATTCTTCTGTCATGACACGCAGCTTAAAGAAAATGGAAGGACAATGTATGTAAGTAAAAGAAAGGGGGAACAAGTTGTGGTCAGCTTGAGAAACAAAGCAAAAGTCTTGAAATATTTCCTATATTTTAGTTTTTTTTCTTCTAAACATAATAAACCAGTTTATTTCAGACAAAAGCTTTAATGGGGTTTTGCCACTAGATGGAGCTTAAAGCACTGACTGGACTGTTTCTTATCGGACACTCCTAATCTTCAGTGTAGATTAGAAATTCAAATAATCAAAAAAGAAAAGCATTTAAAATTATTTTAAACAGAAATTCTTTACTCTAATATTTTATGTTTTTGATCATATCACCAACGACATAGAAAAGCAGACAAAGGGTTGTCAATGCTACAGTCAAAACATTTGTATTATCACAAAATGCAACAAGATAAAGTGCAAACATAATATATATAAAACAATTAAACCAATCATTTCACATYGCAACAATAAACATTGGCTTAATTTAGGCACAGTGTAAAACTTGTGAAGTTTAAAGGTTTAAATAGGGAACAGAAAATAAATTCCTGTCAGTAATACTGATAAATTTCTCTTTTTTCTTCAGTTTTGTTTGTTTTATTTCCATGTTTTGTGTGAATAAAAATAATGGACAGATTGGGGGGGGTGAGGAAAAGGACGTGTCTTTTCTCTGAGCTCAGTATAAACCACTCTCCCTTTGCTTTTCAATTTTATGAAACAGTTACAGGTTCGCTTTTATGCAGCCTTGTGCAAATGTAAACACACACACTCACACACACACACAGAGACACACACACTATAGTCACTTTGAGAAGAATCACATTAATACTGAGCTGGTTTATCAGTAAGGTCAGTTCATTTACAGTGGCTGAGGCAGCGTSGTGCCGTCTGAGCTCTTTTATCTGTCTGTTCTGCTCCCTCTTCTCTTCCTCCTCTTCTTCAGCACCAGTTTTCTTCCTCTTAGTGCAGTCTTCTTTTACACATTCTCCCGCCACAGATTAAAGTTTGTTTTTCCTCTCAGGGACTCCGGTACATCTATTTTTGTTCAGTCTAAGTTCCCTTCTTTGACTCCCATTCCTGAAAATAATGAGACAGAAAAGGGAAGTAAACATCTGCCTCTACACTCACACACTTACTCACAGACACACAAACACTGCAATATTTGTCCTTGTTAAATCATTGTGTTAGCTATATTAACAAACACAACATTTAATTTGTGATATCTGATTGTGTTCTGCAGAGAGTGGAGGAGAACAGAACATCAAAAACCTTTTGGCCCCARGTGCTGAGAAAACTCCACATATAAAGATTTATGCAAACCTACAGATCAATGCACTTCACAAAGCTTAATATTCATTCTTGAATCAAACCTTTTCTTTCTTATACAGAGTAAAGTCAAGTTAAAATCATTATATTACAGTGACTGAACATATCCACTGCCGACAGAYGAGACCAAAGCTAACGTTTAAACAGAACCAGTAACCCAGAAGTTGCCTTTCTGTGRAGGAATCTAAAAATAATGCTCCATGAAAGGTTCACACTAATCACAATGATTGTATCTTAGGAATGACTATGATTAAGCTCACATTTAGACACTCTGTACAAACAAATATTCCACCTTTGCTTTCTGCATGACGTTCCCCTTGGAGGAGGCGTGAAGAGAAGGAGGCCGTTTACGGAGCTCAGACGCTGAGTTCACAGGCACAGTCTCACTGTAAATCTTTTCAGCTTTGGTTCCTGCTGCCTGCACACAAAAACACATCGACACGCAAACGTGCACTAAATGTTAGATTTCAGACGGGCTGTAGCAAATGTGAGAATCTTGCCTGGACCGTTTCCCAGATAGAGGGAGTAACTTTCTGAAAGCATTGCTGCAATGTTTCTAAGAACTAGAGCAGATTAAAGTGGGGTCACAGCCAACAGACCAACAATCCACAGCCACAAGTCCAACACAGCCTATTTTTCTCCAAACAAAGGAGAGGAAATCCTACAGTATAGTTTCATAAACTGAAAATTGTCAATAAAGGCTAGAGAYGTAAAAAAATATTTAAATACTGAAACCGGTAGAAGCACAGCGAACATTAAAGATGAGGAAAACAATCCAGCCTAATCAAAAAGAAATAATCAGTAGTTCCTCTGGATGGGTTCTTCTTTAGTGAAACGTTTCGTCTCTCCTYCAAGAGACTTCTTCAGTCTGATGAGTTTCAGGTGAAATCAGCCTTATAAGCACCGCCTCCACATGGACAAACAGGTTAGTCACATGCAAAAGAGGGCCAYCGMCTAACARTAGGCTTGATTGRCTCTATTGTTCATAGAGGGTCATGTGCCCCATCACATAGCACGACACGGGTCAGGTGATGGGGCACATGACCCTTTATGAACAACAGAGTCAATCAAGCCTACTGTTAGGCGATGGCCCTCTTTTGCATGTGACTAACCTGTTTGTCCATGTGGAGGCRGTGCTTATAAGGCTGAGTTCACCTGAAACTCATCAGACTGAAGAAGTCTCTTGGAGTTGAGACGAAACGTTTCACTAAAGAAGAACCCATCCAGAGGACCTACTTGTTTCTTCTTTTTGATTTTTTCTACCTGGATTAATGAGATGCATCAGAAATCCAGCCTAACAAAATGCTAATTACATGTTTTAATTTAAAAATGGATTTTCAGGACTTTGATTTATATTAAATGATCTGGGCACAAATCTTAGAAATGACAGAATTTGTTATACAGAAACTGCTTCTGTTATGAAAAAAGTTTAACTTTGAATTCTAAAAGCTTTAATCATTTTCTCAAAGATACATCTATTCATAATAAAGATGTACAACGTAGTTCAGTGATTGAATCTTCACTATAAATAGAGTATATTTCTAAAATTAAAGATTGTTAATGTTTATTTTGCTGCAGCAGTAAAATCAAAGTATCCCTGCCCACCTTGACACTGACTTTGGCGTCAGCAGGAGGACCAAGYGCTCCTCTTGCCAGAGATTTCTTCAGGTTTTCTTTGACTTCTGTTAGTTTGAGCTCCAGCTCCACCCTCTCCTCCTCCTTCTGTTTGCACAACGTTTCCAGCTCTGCTAACCGCTCCTCCCTACCACGAGCTGCAAACACACATGATGTATGCTCATAAAAAGCACTAAAACATAAAGTAAGTTGAATCTGTGCCGAGTGTGAGATTTCTCTCGGACCTGTTTCACTCTTCATCTCCTCCTTCACCTCCCTYTTCTCCCTGCGGAGGGAAATCAGTGTGTTTCGGAGCTCCTCCTTTTGCTTTTCCAGCTCCTCTTTTTGTCTCAGGTACCGCCTGGCGTCCTCCTCTGCGCGCGTTTTTCCATARCGTCCATATTGATTTACATCTAAGAGAAAACCAATCAGAATTTTAACAAACGGAGATGTTCGTGCCGCGTTATAACAAGCAGTAATATCAGTCATCAAGCTAAAAAGAAAAATTAATTATCTGGAGGAGTAAGGCAGATGTGGCAGCATTTTCTCCCATGAAATGTTTATGCAGTAATAAATAATGAAATGTGAGGGGAGACTCACTGGAGGCGTGTCTCTTAATGGTAGCTTGTTGTTCGGTTTTCTCGGAGTCTCTGCTGGAGAAGGAGGCGTGACGTCTAACCTGACCTGCTTTGCTCTCCRCATTCTCATCCTGCAGCATGAGAAAAAACGAGCTGAACCTGCATAATTTTACTGGATCAGTCCCAAAACAAGCACTGAAACTAGAGTAAAGAAATGTTGGTCTTGAATTAAAATAGGGAAGAAGTTACAAAACAACTTTTTTAATCAGATTCTGAAAAATCCCAAAGATAAGAGATAAGATTAGTAGATAAGTGAGGTTTCCTCACCTCAATGCTTTCATAGACCTCATCGTAGGTTCTGGAGTCTGTTGAGGCGCTGCTGGAAGAAGTAGCAATGGTGGTGGCCCACCTACCAGAAGAAAACACAGAAGGTAGTAAAAAACTAAAAAACACAGCATGTCAAGGTTAAATATTGTAATTAGAGAAAGGAAACTGTGGGTAAGTGCAGGCACTGAYGAACTGTCAGCAGTGACTCACAGGAAGGAGTGTCTGGCAGCGTGCCGGATGTCAGTGAGCGTGTCCACGTCGATGTAGTCGTAGTGCAGCTCGTCAGGAAGAGTGGCGCTGCCGGTCTCTGCAAACAAAACCCCCAGCCAGCGGCCCAGRTCCTCCGAGGAGCTGGCCTGATGGACACAAACACAAACATGGTGACAGTTTAGTGAGTTCCTTTCCAGAGAAACGTAGCTGTGACATCCCTGTGCACGTGACAATGTTCAGATCCACAATAATTTGAAAAAATTGTGAAAAACAAACCAGTCCACCTACATTAAAACTTCTTTGTCAGATAAAATTAGTCCAGATGTTCGTGGTTTATTATAAACTTTAGCTCAGCGACAATTCACTGTGAAAAACAGTTGTCCAGCAGTTAATTTGCTCATTTTTATAGGTGATAAAAGTATTTCCAACACAAGTTTTCTTCCTTTAAACCAGGGCTATTCAACTAAATTTCTCCGGGGGCCACAGTTACTGCAGGCCAACGGCACAGGGGCCGAACATCCAGCAATTAAAGTCATTATGTAAATAAACCAAGTATTACAAAGATCTGTTACCTTTGAAACAGTTTATTTTACTGGATTTAATCATGAATACAACATACAGAACCCTATGTAATAAAAGAAGTGATAATAAAACAACAAAAACAAAAAGAACACATTACGCTTCTTATTTACCACAAATAATATTTTGACATCTCTGACTTACCAAATTTTTTAACCAATTTTATTTTCACTTTCATAGTTTTATCTTCAACTGCTTGTAGTTTAAACTGTCTTGAATATTCATAGAAATTATTTTTACCAGCTTGTAGCCAAAATTCTGATGTTTCTGTAGATACCAAACATGTCTATGTTTAACTAAAAGAACTTAAGAGTAATTAAAGTAAAAAACTGGGGATTTGGACTTAAGAGATGAATGAACCAATTGGCGGGCCGAACTTTGGTCACTCACGGGCCACATCCGGCCCACGGGCCGCCAGTTAAATAGCCCTGCTTTAAACCAAACAAATGTTGATCTATTTTTGGCTTTCATTTAAAATATCCACCGTCATTCTTTTGATATCCAATATGAACATTTGTAGCCAAAATAAAAAACTGTGACTTTTAAAATGTTTTTGTGGACTTCGATGAAATGCATCATGGATGTTTTAAATGAATAGTAAAAACAAATAAATGTATTTCCTGGTAGCTCACGAGTGTCCTCCAAGAATTTGAGTCTGATAAAAATATATATACATATATACCTCTAAAGCTGCCAGTTCATTCCCCCYTTGCATGATGCGAAAAGAGAAGGGATGTTTAGGTCCGAGGCCACCGGGCACCACCTCCGCCCCCTTCAGGGGCACCACAACAGCAGGGGGCCGCTGATCCCCGGGGTCCTTCTGCAGGTGCAAGCTTCCCCCCCGCAGCACGCACCACCGCTCCTTCCATGAAGCGCTCAGACACACACTGAGGTACCCTGCGGAGGGGAAACAAAACACATTTATTATTGACAAGCAGCAAAAACAWTTAAACAAAAATCTAATTATCAGTTCCTGATTTAACAACCAGCAGAGTCTGATCAGGTTGTGCTCACCACAGCGAGGGTTATCACTGAAACCTGTAGATGAGGAAGGCTCCCCAGGTAAAGGAGGTTTCTTTTTGGAGAAAGTGATGATCCGATTGATTTTCTTGCCTGCGGCTCGGCTCATCGACCCCGTCAGCTCTGAGAACGTGCCGCGCTTCCCCCTGTCTGAAACCAAACATAATCTGGATTAAAGCCTGATGTGAAGCCACTCACTGGGATCAGGTTACATTTACATTCTTTTATCTTTAATTTAGACATTTGGTGCGGTGTGGGACTGTGAGTTTTGTGACAAAATATTTCTTTTGTAAAAAACACTTGGGCTGTTTGTGGTTCACAGAAATTGTGAATAAATAATAAAAACCAGTGAACTCTCTGAGTGTGTTTGGAAGTTGATGCTGCGTGAACCAGGTGCAGCAGCAGTCCATTCACCCTCCTTCCTATGATGTCAGTGGGAGACAATTGCAGGAAGAGGACAGGAAGGATGTTAAATCTGCTTGTGCCCCACTTCCTGTCTCTGCCTCTCTCTCATGTCTCTTTAGGCTCAGAGTCGATTATCAGTAAAGAGTGTTTGACTTATTTTATATTTTATAACTCTACGTTCTCATTGTCCTGGTCATATGTTCTTATGGAGAGCTGCTTCATTCAAAATACAATAAATAAATAAATAAATAAATAAATAAATAAA